GGCACGCCGAGACTCCTCCTGAGACCGACGAAAGGCAATGCGAACCGCCGTGGAAGATGGCGGAGTCGCAGAAGTCGACCTCGTGGACCTGACCGATCTCACTGATGCCACCGAGCTGGTCGACGAGTGTCGAATGCGCACGGTCTCGGTAGTGACCGAGCATGGAGGCGCCTGCTTCGTAGGCCTTGGAGCCTTGGAAGCCGTCGACACTGAGGTCTTCGAAGCTGTCGACATAGCTGCCCTCGGTCTCTTCTGCGCAGCCTTTCTCGGCTGTCGGGGTTCGGCTTCTGCCGAGGGACCGACAGATGTTGTTGTCGGAGCTCTCGACGTCGAGGTTGTCGAAGGTCTAGACACCGTGGCCGACGTCGACGCCGATGCCGATGGTGAAGGTACCGGGGCCAGCGCCTGTTGGTACAGCAGATACCGAAGTCGATGCGCCCGGTTCTTACGGGACTGCGCCGTCAGAGCCTGACAATGACGACACGAGGAGGTGATATGCGCCTCCCCGAGGCACAGAAGGCAAAGAGCGTGCTTGTCCGAATCAGGGATCTTCTTCGGACATCTCGCGCATCTTTTGAAGCGAGTTGTTGACATAATATAGTCAACAACTCGAGGAGAACTCCAAGGAGAATTATCGAACACTATCCAACACTATCCAACACTAATCAGAAGTACCGAAGTGAGCCGTGCGGCGGAAAAAAAGGAATTGGAGCGGCGCGCGCGGGGCGCCCTTTTATCCCCTGCCGGGGCTGGGCGGGGTTACCGCCAAAACTTCAAAAGTTTTAAAATATAGAAGTTTCCGTTGGAGCCCGCGCAGGCGCAGTCTCTCCACAAGTGTGCATTCGCAGAGACCACGAAGAAAAAATAGTGTTACCCATTTTAGACTTTTGTGTGAAAAGAGTTCATTTGTGGCATTGAAACTAGATCTGCAGACTCAAAATTCTTTAGCTGTGTCAGTGGAAATCTTTTGCATCTGGTGGATAGATTTCCCTAAGTTTGAAGTCTGTCCACTCCTGTCTGACCTAAATGACACACAGTCAAATCCTATAACATGGTTATTATCCTTTTAAACACACTCTGGGGAAAGGCTTACATTGGCTAAAAGCAGGTTGTACCCATTCTATTCAGAAACAAATGTACAACCGAAGTACCAAAGCTGTCAACAAATCACACTCTTAATGTCAACCTTCTGCCATACAGTATGGAAGCACTATTTTAATTTTGGTAATGCTACTGGAAATTTACACTGTAGAATTAATGCGAGTCGATCCTACTTTATCTGCTATGGGCCAATGCTGTGAAATCACTAGAGTTGTAGTTTTACAAGATCTTTTCCTTTCTCTGCTAAAGAGTAGTGGTGCCCCACCAAACTAAAGTCTCATGTTTCCATAGTATTGAACCACCTCCAACACAGCATGTCCACCTGATGTGTTTTGATATCCCCTTATCAATGAAGAAAATATGTAGTTGTCATAGCATTTCCACAAACAACATGAATCCCATCATATTACAAACAAAGACACTAACATGACAAATATAAGCCTCTGATAGACTCAAAATGAAACCAGTACAAATGCTGTGTGGAATCCCTTGCAGTTACATGGTTGCTTATAGAATTGACGACCCAAATGCCTTGCTAAGAAGGTTCCTTTTATTGCTCCAGCCACTTAGTATGATAGTCCATAAATAGATAACTACCAGACGTAAGCTATTTTCATCTTTAATGAGCTTTTCTATGAGCCTTTGTGGGGTATGGCTTAAAAAAATTATCCACAGCTATTTGGAATGTAGTATTTATTGCACTCTGACCTACCCTTTCCTCTTTCATTGCTAATCTTAATTTAATATCCTGAGTAGAAAAAGCTTGGCAAAGTTTCAAGCCATTCCTTGTGGGTTTTTTGTCTTTTGTTTGTTTATTTTTAATCATCTTTTCAGACTTCTTTAGTCTTTTCTTTTCATGGTCTTTTCTAGACTGTGTTGCAGATAATATAGCTCACTTTAGGGAGTGGTTGAACTGCAAAGGGAATTTTCTAATGGGCTCCAGTGGATTTTATGAGCAATTTCAGAATGTAATAGCCTTGTCACATTGAGCCAGAAAATGAGGAAAGCCATGTCCTGAATTAAATAACTAATTATTTTGGCTGTATTAGTCATTAAAAGTTGATGTTCAATTAAGACTCATCTGTGTTATGGGCTAATGCTCAAACTCCAGTTAGTACTATATAAAAAAATGTCATGGGAAATAATTCAGGGATAGGGATTTAGAGGAGACTGGTCAGATCTGGTTACTGTCTGGTGGAGAATGATCTATAGTTGGCTGTTGATAGTGTTTTGATAGTGTTTTTGTTCTCAAGTCACCAAGAACATCTAACCTGGAAAACATTGTGTGGGTTAGGAACTAGTATCAGATCTGCTATGGCAAATTTTCAAACCCAAGGTCTGAATTAAATTTTGGAGAAGTAACATCCCAATGGTAGGTAGGACCACAGGCAGAAGTGTTGGATCAAATATGCCAGTGTATGTTCACTTACAGCTGTCAAGGTATTTGTTGCGGAAGGGAACAGAATCTGCATCAACTCCTAAGGCTTGGATTGTGACCTTAAGAAAACCACACCAAGCTCTTAGACAACCTACCCTTACACTACTATTAATATAGTCAGACCTCTTTGGCTGATGTGATTGATTTCCCAACAGTTCCCTGCTGGTGGTACAGTGGTCATCAGCATTGGTGAGTTTGGATCTTGAATGGTTCAACTGTATCTTGAACCAAAGTCATGGTGGCTTTGTGTGTTTTCAAGGTGGCCAGTGACAAATGATGGCTCAGCACCAGCTTGATTGTCAGAGCCAAAGTCCACAGGTTAATGTGGAATATTACTGGATTATAATGCATTAAAGAAGCTGCTTTTTACTGAGCACTTTATTAACTCAGCACGAAGTCATTGGTCCATAGAGCCCAATATGCTGGCTGCTAACTCATCCATTTTCTGGGGTCTTTCAATGGTCTGTCTTGCAGCTTCATAGCTTTTTAACTGGAGATTAAATCAAAGGCCGTATGGAGTAAAGCATATGCTCTGCTCCTATATTATGTTCCTCTCTTCATTATGAATTACCAGGGGAATCATCTTCTCCTAGCCTTACATTCTATTTTCAAAAGGGTAAAATCTGTAGTGAGAATAGAGCTTTGGGAAATTACTTTTTGTGAATGATAAGTCCCAAAGTCTCCCAATCGCCAAACTGTTGTGAAGGATTCTGGGGGCTACAGTCCAAAAAATCTTCTTCCCTCAGTATGAATAGGAATAGTGATTATAATAATGGCTTCAGTATATTAAGTTCAGCTCACACAATTAATTCACCTTCCATGTACTCTGCATTTATTCTAAGAATCACAATATGAACTGTTTGAGTTTAAAGTTTCAATACTTTACCCTTTTGGCTGATGCCAATTTATGCATTATTATGTGCTTTTTTTGCATTGGATGCTTAGTGAAACAGAGCAGTTGCCTGAAAGCTATGAACTGTGATGATCAAATAACTTAATCTGCATATTTCCTTTGCTGGCAGTTAAATGACTGTGGAGTAAGTAATCTAGAGATAACAGACAGGCGTCTCAGTCAAATTATTTTCCTGTTCCAACTTAATCAAATGCCAGTGCTGTTGCCTTGGCAAGTTAGAGGGATGTGAGCCCATTTCACAAAAGAGGTAAAAAGGAATCCTCTCTGATGTTGTGCCTTCCCTTTTCCTTTCCTTTTTTTTGAGCTTGATTTTTAGTTAAAAATTTAAAATGCAACTTAAATCCAACTTATAAAACATTTAAAAACATAGACATTAGAATAAAATAAAGAAAACAATATAAAAATAATATCCTAATTCTCCATCTCCTAACTCCCACTAAAAACCTGCCCCATCCCCTGTATCCTCTCCCTTCCAAGTCTGTTGTATTATATATCCCATCATGTTCTGCTGCTGGGTGATGACAAAATATAGTTAGACACATCACAAAGGTTTATATACAACCTCCTGGGACTCTGAAATGATGCTGAGAATCAAGCTGTTACTTGTGTTAGCAGTGTTATCCAGCCTACTTTAAACAGTTCAGTACTCTCAGTCTCCTGTTTTTACATTCTAGTTTTCATTTCTCAGTTACAGTTGCAGTGTATATGCTTACTGTACTTGCCAAGGGCCATGACAAATACCTGTACAAAATGTACAAAATGCACAAAATATAGTAAGAAAGAGATGACAAGCAAGAACAGATAACGTTACAGACAATAATATCAAATAATTCCACAATTTCCAGCAACATATCTAAATTAGTATTCTGGGTCTCCAAAAAAAGTTTGTAGCAATTTTATCTAATTACTTCTAACATTTTCAGCATTCAGAGCAAAAAGCGCCACTTTTTGCTTTTCTCACACATATTTACAACCCCTTTTTATCAACAGCAAAACGTATAGCTATGTACCAAGAAGCTGATTCTGAAGATGAAGAAATGGCACCTAAGGCAGGGACTTTGTCCCAGCGGGGCAGTGTTAGCAGTCATCAGAGCATTAAAGTCATCCACAGGAACCAGAGCACAAAATCTCATAGGCGTACAGGGAGCAGAGTGGAGGCCAAAAGGGCAAGCATTCTCTCAAAGCACACAGCTTTCAGCAGCCCGATGGTAAGTATTTGAAGTACTGCCCTTTAACACTGTTATCTTTCCGTTGAATCTATGTTGTAATTTAGCCAGATCTGATCATGCTTATAATTCTAGAGTTCTGAGAACATAACCTCTGATATAGTCCATGAGTCATGTACAGTAGCCCACTTGGAGCTCAAATAATCTTCCTTGTTTTCTTACCTTTGAGTTAGTGCAAAAGAGGATGCTATCAGCCATGTGAGTAGCCAATACCATAGTATGTTGGGGAACAGCTAGCTATGTATACTTCAAATGTTTGTTTTTTCTGGGCAGTGGGGGATCTGCAGGTAAAATGAGAGGGATTCTTGTGCAAGGGTTTCAGCTAGACATAGGAAGGACAGGAAGAAAAATTCAACAGAAGCTCTGATGGGTGAAGACTGGTACAGAGATGGACAGTGCCCGTCATAATGCAGTATTAGAGTACTGTAGATGAATGAAGGGGGGGGGAACCAACAGAGGATGATGATGATGTTTATTTATACCTGTTTTTTCCCTCAAAACAGCTGAGGTTCTGCAGTCAATATTTTTCTCAGTTTGTGCTTTTCTATTTGCTTCTCTAATTTGGGGAAAAATATGTGTATGCACAACATATGTTTTGCTTCTCTAGGTCACTAAGTGTTAAATTTCTCAGAGCTCAATTACAAATTATAATGCTGGATATAATACAGAAGACATCCTCAAACTCTGCCCCCCCCCCTCCAGCTGTGTGGGCCTTCAAACATATTTAGAAAGATTGAAAGGATTAAAAGTGAAATAAACATAATACAAGCAAGACGGATAGAATATGTCTTATTATTGCTTGCTACCTTACAGCTACACAATCATTACCATCAAATACAGAGCCATGATACAATACGAATACTATTTTTTCAGTAAAGAGTCTCTAAAGAGCAACTCCACCTAAACAAGTTTCTGAATGCATGAGTACTGCAGCTTGTTTTGGAGAATTTGAATGTACAATCTATATATGTATGTGGCCAAATACTTCTCTAAGCATAGCACTTGACATGTTCCAATGTTGTTGAGTGTGTTTGTTTCAGCATTAATCATCCCAAGATGTGTAGGAGTGGTCATCATTACCTTGCTTAAAAGTGTTTGCCAGGCAGTGAGGGATAATCTCACTTCTCCTGCCTACTACAAAATGTTATGTGCAAGCACAAGACTTGGGTTGTCATGTTCTCTGTAGTGAAACAAAGCGAATAAACTCGAAAACGCAGATGGGATTATTAAATATATGCTTGATAGAGCACATCTGCAGAATAAGCTAAAGAAGGAGAGTGTGAAAGGGACTGTAGGAATGCACCAACCTGCACATGATTCACTTTGCCTGTCTTTCAATTCTAGGAAAAAGATATCACACCTGATCCAAATTTGCTGCAAAAAGTAAATGAATGTGCCAGCTACCTCGAGATTATGAAGAGCTATGACCAGCCATTATCCCAGCTCTCCCCTGAACTTTCAGACATCTTTGACTTTTTCATAGCTTTAACTATCTGTAATACAGTGGTAGTGACATCTCCAAATCAGCCACGTCAGAAGGTAGGTTAGGTAAAATACTGACTTAAAAAAAGTTAATCTTGTATTTGAGTTGTTTTGGTAATAGTTTACTGCAGTATGATTTGTATCTGTTTTGCCTAAGTATTCAAAACAATGAGTTTAGTAGTTTAATTCTAATTCTGAGTATGCATGTTTTCCCAAGCATTTTATTGTGTTTGGCCTACACGCTCTCTGGAGCTTCTTTCCAATTAGTATTGATCTCATTATATTTAATGAAAACCTGCTTGTTTAGAATAATGCAATCATTCAGTTGGAAGATACCTCAAAGGTCATCTATTCTAATCTGTAATTGATTCAGGCAATACACCATATGATTGATAGGTGACTATCCAATAGCTGTTTTAAAACTGCTAATGAATCAGCTCCATTAAATTCCAAGGCAATCTGTTTCCTGAACAGACTGTATCATTAAAATATTCTTCGCCAAATTTAATCTAAATCATTGTTTTTCCTTGGTTAGGATCCTTCCCTTCCCAAATATGAAAAGTATCTACCTTATTTACATTAGTTTAATGCTCACCTTTTTTTGCTAAATTACATAGCTAAAAGTGAGGCATGCATTAGATTTGATAGCATGTTGGCATTGCACTCCTAAACCCGTCTGCACTGTTGGGCAAGAGATCCCAACTGGGGACAAAGCAGAGAGAGGCAGTGGTGACCATAAAAAGACTGGCGTGAAGCTGATGGTGGCCACAAAAAGGGTGGTGGGAAGGCCAGATAGAGGGATTGAGCTTCCCACCAGCCTTTTTGTAGGCACCACTGCTTCACATTACTATTTATTTATTTACTATATTTCTATACTGCCCTTCTCAGCCCGAGGGTGACTCAGGGCGGTTTACAAAACCGGCACAATTAGATGCCACAATAATATAAACAGTTAAAATCACATAAACATCCATAAAATTCCATAAACAATAAAATCAATAAAACATTAAAAAAAACATAAATCCTCCGTTTCTAATTTCCAGAATCTTTATCCAATTGCAATTGTCCAGCCGTTCCGAGGTCAAGTAATTATTTACTATATTGCATTTGAGAAAGCCTGCTCACAAAACCAGGTTTTGACTTTTTTTGGAATGTTAGGAGAGTGGGAGCCGATCTAATATCTCTGGGGAAGGTGTTCCACAACCGAGGGGCTACCACTGAAAAGGCCCTATCTCTCGTCCCTGCCAACCGAACCTGTGAAAAAGTCGGGACTGAGTGCAGGGCCTCTCCAGAAGATTTTAAATTCCTGGATGGTTCATAAGGACAGTAAATTGATAGTAAATCCTTTATTTATTTATTTTGATAATGCATACCTTCAAAATTGAGGTGTGCATTACATTCAGTGGTGCATTACACTCAAATAAATATGGTATATGAAATGCTTATTTGTTTGATTTCCATCACACTTTTGTCTCTCATACTGGAACTCAAACTGGCTAAATAATGAAATAAATAGAGCATATACTGATGAGAAATAGCAACTTTATAAACAGTTAAAAGACAAATCAGTTCAAAAATTATTAATAGTAGTGGATTAGAAACGAAACTCAGTATGAGGCTAAGAACCACCAGAATGAAAAGCGGGGAACAGAAGCAGCCTTTCATGGCAGGAAGTTCCTCAGATTGGGAGTGACCACTAACAAATCTAATAATGGTGCTTTTTTTAGATATAATCTCAACAGAATTGAAACCTTATTTCCTGTTTGCTACCTACCACACACATGCCTAATACCAATAAGGAGTCTGTCTCATTTTTATTGTTCTATCGCTGAAGGCCAGTTCAAAGGTATTCACGAGGTGACATAGCTCTCTCACAGAAAATTGTCACCATCAATTAAAACGTAAAACAGAGGGTTGGGTTATTTTTTTCTCATTTGTATCTTTTTCCTCTTGAGATCTGCCTTATGTTTTAAGAAATATATTTAAGACCTGGTCATCTCTACTTCACTGCAAGGTTTTAAAAACACACAAATAGAATGGAAGGAAAAATATATTGAAGTTCTTCCAAGAACTCTTGTGTAGCTGTTTTTCAAAGGCAATACCAAAGCATAACAGAGATTGCATTACATTGTAGTATAACTTCCATGTCCATGGAGGGATATGTTTGTGAATTTGCTGTAAAAACAAAACATGGATAATAGTGAATTCTAGTGAAATGACCAACATCTGGCAGAACTTACCATAGTGTTATCTTGGAAGACCTATGAATTAGCTAGGACATTTGGAATGGCCTGGTCTACATACTTGGATCACAAGATTTTATTTGTGATTTTATTATTTATTTGTTTGTTTGCCTTATTTATACCCCGCTTTTCTCTACCCTGAAAAGCGGGGGGCTGAAGGCAGCTTACAAATAGCTTTAAAAACATTTCAATGTTTTTATTAATTGTTTTAATGTTTATATTTCATGTTTTAAATGTCTTTTTGTTGTATCTTATGATGAATTATCCCATTGATTTTATACTTTGTTATGCGTAAACCGCTTTGAGCTACCCCAGGGGTGTAAATAAATGAATGAATAAATTTGATGGTAATGTTCAGCACAATAATACCATAGATTTCTTGGACAACCTTGTCAGTTGCAGGTAGGTGAAACCTAGGGTACTGGTCCTGTGCATATGAGGGTCATACTGTATGAGAAACATGGTGAATAAGGCACCAGGAATATTATATACACCACTAGCGCATTAAAAATTCTTGAAAATAGTTTATACCAATTCTTGAAAAAGATGTAATGGAACTGTAAGTTTGTCTTCAGAGTTGAGATCACTTGTCTAATTTAATGTTCCACTAATAAGTAGAAAGCACACCTTTTAAGGCCATTACAGGAGTGGCCTTTTGCTAAGAAAAGAGCATTTTGGTTCCAAGCCAATGTAAACATAGGCCAAACTAGAGATTATACTTGGGAATTGTCAGCCAGCACATATGAAGGCCACACAGATGGAGAAGGAAAATCTGAAAGGGTACTATAACAGCCATCTTTTAAAGTGCTGACTAATCTTATATCAATATATGAGCCTGCAGATGCTGGTGTTTTATCCTCTAAACTGGAGTGAGCAATTGGGCAGGTGCAGGGCGCCTTTCTTTGCTCCTAATTTTATTAATTTGTGCTTTCAATAAGATATACAGTATATCCAGTATCTCAGCTACTTCATTTCTTTGTTGTTGCTGGTCTTTATTTTTCAAGATTAGATACAGATTTGAACTGAAGTCTCCAGTAAAGACCATTGAGGACTTCATTCGGAGACTCACTCCCAGTCGCCTGACCTCTGGATCTAACAACAGCAGCTCCTCAAGCCTGGCAACCAGCAAATCAACACAGCGTGCTGCATCCAGTGTAATTTCATCAGCCTCTACAGACAGCACTTTCTTGAAACTAGAAGAAAAGTTTGCAAACTCTTCCAGGATGAATAACAATAGTTACAGTTGTCAGCAATCTAAAGAGACCCTGGGGAATGGGAGTGGGCCGGGAGAAAGTGAACTGCGTTATGAGGCAGAAAGTCCAGATGAAGCTGCCCTTGTTTATGCTGCCAGGGCATACGATTGCGCTCTGGTCGGCCGACTGCCTGACCAGGTATCAATAGAGCTACCTCACCTGGGGAGATTAAACTTTGAACTTTTACACATCCTGGGCTTTGACTCAGTCCGGAAGAGAATGTCTGTGGTTGTCAGGCATCCCCTCACTGACGAAATAAATGTTTATACTAAAGGAGCCGATTCAGCAATCATGGATCTTCTTCTGCCCTGTTCTTCAGGTATAATGTGCACTCAATTTATTTCCCATGATAAAGTGTATTGGAAACTGTGGCTGGATATCTCAGCTACACTACTGATCTGTAAACTGAAAAGAATGAGAAGTTGTGTCTTCTTCTTTTGATCCATGCAAGACCAGTAATCTTATTCTAGTTTTTTTAAAAAACTTGGGCAAATCTAAGTAAGGTCTCATTGCTGTGAGTCCTTACATCTCTCCAGGTGTTAATTTCTAGGTGTTCACTTCCAGAATTACATGTTATCAATGTGTTTTTTCATAATGTGGCAAAATAAGCACGTTTTGCTGCATCTCCTTTTTATTGTCTAAATCGGTGGCTATTTGCTTGGTCTTAGAGTAAATACAGAAATCCCTGGATCCCTTCTGTATAGTGATACCAATGAATATTGACTTCCTCTGAATGCTATAAGAGTTCGCTTTAACTATCATGCCCTATTACTTTGAATGAAACCTAGCTGTGAGTTGTGATTTGGTGGGATTTTTTTTGCTTGTCCCTTGTGGTTGGATCAACCTGATACATCCTATAAACTTTTCTTGTTTTGAGTTCAGATAAGGATGTTTAGAATAGCCAACAAGAAAACTCAACAGATGACAAACCCCAGAATGCTATAGGATTCAGACATTGCAATTAAAGTGGGATTATAGTGCTATATTTGTGTAGTGTGAACAGAGGCGGATCTAGGTAATTTTCAATGGTAAGCAAACAGTATTTTGCCCCCCCCCCCAACCAATCTATATATATAAAAACGCTCTGTACACAATGAGTGGCTTAAAAACAAAAAAAACTACAGGGCCAAATGACCCCAAATTTGGCAATAAAAGTCCTCACAATCCAAGGAGTGACCATCACTGAAAAAACCCCACAAAAACACCTTTAAATTCAAAAAAGGAAGATGACAACACACCTCCCCTGCCCCCTCCCCTCACCCGCACGCTGAGGACACAGAATGAAAGTTCCAAAGCGGCTGCGGCCCTTAAGGAACACTAAGGCAAGGGCTCAAAGGGCAAAGGCTGAGGAAAAGGAGGAGGGGGAGGAGGGGGGGAAGGAAAAAAAGAGGGAGGTGGGACACACTCTGTGCACACACTCTGATTGTCTCCCACACACACACTCCCACAGCACAAGGGAAGGAGGAAGGTGCCATGATGGGGGTAATAGGGACACACGAAACTGACATTGCTTGGAAAGGAGCCCTAAAGACCATCCAGCCCAACTTCATTTGGCAGTAAAGGAAGACACGATCAAAGCCCTCATAACGGATGGCCAACCAGTTGAAAGGGAGCCCTAAAGGCCATCCGGTCCAACCCCCTCCTACCCTCCTTCCTTCCTCCCCCTCCCTTTCTCTCCTTCCCTCCCTTCCCTTCCTTTCTTTCCTTCCTTTTTCTCCTCCCCGCACCAGCTTCATCCTCCTTTATTAAAACTACAGTGTAGATGCACCCAAAGTCAACCCTTCCACAGATAGGGAAGGAAGAAAGGAGAGAGAAGGGAAGGGGAAGAAAAAGGGGGAAGGAATAGGTAGTCCAGATTTCTACCTCTACTTCGAAAATTCTTACTATAGGCCACAGCAAAGCGTGGCAGGGCACAGCTAGTCACTGATATATTTTTTCAGTTCGTCGTGGGAATTCTGTGTGCCATATTCGGTTCAATTCCATCATTGGCGGAGTTCAGAATGCTCTTTGATTGTAGGTGAACTATACATCCCAGTAACTACAACTCGCATATGTCAAGGTCTATTTCCCTCCAAGAGTGCCTCAAGAGCGCCCCTGGGCAAAATCAACTATACTGCAAATGCTTACTTTGCGTAATGGGTTGAGCCGCCCCTGAGTGTGAAAGGACCTCAGGTTGCAAAAGTTCAGTTTCTGGACATACTAATTGCTGTGTTGACTGCTAATGAGTGTGGAAGTTAAGCACAGAAAGGGAATGAAGATTCCCATGATTCTCCTGACCCTGATGTCACCCCATTTTCTACTCCTGAAATTTCCATGTTGATCACAAAAAAAAATCCCTATAGCAGGAGAACATGCTTAGAATCTTACTCCATGTTTCACTGCCTGGCATGGAAATATGAAGGAGGAATGAATGGGGATGTTGGGAGTGAAACTGACAAAAAAGCATGAAATTCCTCTCTAATTCCTGGCCATATCTGCATTTTGTACAAGGCTTTCCATAACACTCACACTGGAATAAGAAAGATGAAAAGAGCAATCACACAACTGCCCGCTGCTCATTGTTGCAATGTTGAATTGTTATTTTTGAGTTGAAGGTTCAAGTCCCCACTCAGCCATGCTGGGCAGTGAGGTATGATTCCTTGCATAATCTTGGATCAGTCACTTTGTGTGCCTTTCTCACACTGATTTGCACCACAAGACTGTTCTGAGGATAAAGTGGGCATGGGCAAACTTCAGCCCTCCCGGTGTTTTGGACTTCAGCTCCCACAAAGTTTGCCCATGCCTGGGATAAAGCATAGAGGGGGAAAGCTATGTGTACCACTTTGAGCTCATGGGAAGAAATGTGGATTATAAAGGAAACTAATAAATATATGAGAAATAATGTGACCATCAGATTTGTTGCTCTTGATTCCAAGTCCTTGTCTCTAATGACAGTTATAGGTCATAACTTTGCTAAAACTCAAAAAGACTTTTGGATGGTCTTAAAATATGAAGCCAAATCAATCTGGCTTTGAAAAATGTGAGATAGAAATCAGGCAATTAAAGTTAGTGGAGATTTCAGAGGAAGGGGTAATGAATGGCGATACATGTCCAACTGTGAGCAGGAAGTTCATATTTTTAATGGAAGAGCTTCTCAAAGATACATGATCATGCTGTGAATCAGAAGAGAGATGTTTAAAACTGCTTATTTCAATCAGTTGGCTTTGAAGACCACCTTTGTGCGATTTGATGAGCTGCTCATACCTAGAGCTTCTCCCTCCCATTTGCAGAGATTCTTGGCAAGCACTTAAGAAGGAAAGATCTGTTAAATCAATAAAAATGTGGTACTTTATAGATTTTTCTTTTATATTGCCTTGCTAATAAAATGCAGAGCTGAAACAAGTACTGCATTTCAGGTTTTCTAGTCAAATTGGATTGTTTTCTTTGACATACTTACGACTTGCAGATCCATGAAATGTAGTCTTCCAATTTATGGTTAATGTTGGTTTCAGCATAAATATATTATCATAATTACTTCAATATTATTGGGAAAAGCTGGAGAAAAACAGAATCTGATTGTGCAATATTAGTTTAATGAATGTAGAAAAATGCAGGGCTTGAACTTTTAAAATTAAATCTTCATAAGCATAAGCCAGAAGAGAGCCGCAGAATTAAGACTCAGATGCCTTTCTACAGCAAAAAGTGAACTTTATTGTTCTGATAATGCGGTCTGTACAGCGTAAGTTAAAAACGATATTTGGATACATGTTGCATTCTAGGTTATTATTACAAGGAAGTGTATTATGGCAAGATGTTTATAATTGAAGGTATTTATGAAGATAGATAGGAGAGATATATTTTGCATTCACCATTTCAGAACTGAATATGGTTTCTTCCCTAAACATGGATATTCTAGGAAACAGATCTCCTTTTTATGTACTAAAACTAAGTCATTAGCCCTCATTTTAAATAAAATGTTTTATCTCTATGTTTTTTACAGAAGTTCCAAGTAGATAATTAAATTAAATCTAATAAATCTGTGAAATACAATACATAGAAAAATAAGAAGATTCTATTCATCATAAATAGTAAGATTCCATGAAAACAGTCATTAAACACTAGCAATGGTTGCTACTGGATGACAGACACAAATTAAGTTACCCATTTCAGCTTTCTATAACAAACTGCATTTGAGCAGCCCAAAATATGCCAAATACACTGAGATATTCAACATGTCCCTTTTATTATGTAAAGCTGGAACTCCCAAGTACATCCAGGCAAGCAACTGAATAGTAAACAATTGTAAATGTTACATTTTGCAGAACATTTAAAAGGGAAATGAAATGCAGCTGATTACACCCAATAATTGCCTTCCGTACAGGATTCTGCTAGCATTGCTCAAAATCAGTGTTCTTAAGGTTTATTTTCCAACTGTAATAATGAGGGGAAAGGATTGTTTGTTTTAAGGCCGCCAAATTACTGGTATTTTTCATTTTAAGAGTCTCATGTTTCTTTTATGAAATCCAGATGACCCCAGGGGCAAGCATCAAAAGAAAATCCAAAGCAAAACTCAACATTTTCTTAATCTTTATGCTGCTGATGGACTGAGGACTTTGTGCATTGCAAAAAAAGTAAGCACTTACAATCTCCTGATAAATTATTTTCAAGGGTCATCTTTTGGGTTTTGCAGGCTTTTAAATAATAAAATCCTTTGGCCACAACCTGGGTATATTTATATTTCCAGGAATCAATAGTAAACTCTACCATTTTGTTATTGAGAAACTCTGTGCTGGCCTGTAGCATATATTTTCTGTCTTCTTATTCTTACATTCTTTTTCCAACAGGTGCTGAGCAAGGAGCAATATTCTTGCTGGTTAAAAAGTCACATTGAAGCAGAATCTTCCATTGACAACCGAGAGGAGCTGCTGTTTCAGTCAGCCACTCGTATAGAGACAGATCTACATCTATTAGGTAAACTCAGAACATAAGTAAAGGTAAAGGTTTCCCCTTGACATTGAGTCCAGTTGTGTCCGACTCTGGGGAGGGGGGGGGGTGCTCATCTCCATTTCTAAGCCAATGAGCCAGTATTGTCTGTAGACACCTCCAAGGTCATGTGGCTGGCATGACTGCATGGAGCGCCGTAACCTTACTACCAGAGTGGTGCCTATTGATCTACTCACATTTGTATGTTTTCAAACTGCTAGGTTAGAACATAAATAGGTGAAAATGCTATGCATAACAATTGAGAATGTGACTTGAAAATAGGAATAGAAATGGGGACATGAATTCATTTTTCAATTTTATTTTCAAACTTCTTCATAATTTGATTGGAGGAAGTAAGGAAACTGAATAAAAAACTGATTTAGTATACTTCTAGATCAGGGGTCCCCAAACTAAGGCCCATGGGCCGGATGTGGCCTTCCAATGTCATTTATCTGCCCCCCCCTCCCTAAGTCTGAAATGACTTGAAGGCACACAAAAACAACAATCCTAATTAACTAGATGATCTCATCAACCAAAAACGGGCCCACACTTCCCATGAAATACTAGTAAGGTTATGTCGGTTAAAATTGTTCTTTATTTTAAATATGTTGTTGTTCTATATTTTGTTTTGCACTACAAATAAGATATATGCCATGTGCATAGGAATTCAGTTTTTTTTTCCAAACTCTAGTCTGGTTCCCCAACAGTCTGAAGGATCACGAACTGGCCCTCTGCTTAAAACATTTGAGGACCCTTGTTCAAGATCCTAGAGCTTTTAGTGCTAAATTATTCAAAGTCTGGATTCTTTTTTTTTTATTCATTGTGTTTGTGCTGAATTGAGGTTTTTCTGAAAGAGAGGGGCTCCTCATTTTTAATATCCATATAACCAGTGAGTGTAGCATGTCCCAACCCATGTTGGGAAGAGCTGGATCTTTTGCCTTTGGGCAGTGCGGATAAATGCAAAATTGATAAGCTCCTTTTGGAAGAATGTACTAAAATTCACAAAATTCACAAGTAATGATAAGAATATAATATAATATGTGTCTATATTCCCATGTTGCATGATTTGAGTGCTTGGTCATTAACTCTAGTACCTGGACTTCATGAAGTTCTTCTATCACTGAAGTCTTTGTATCAATTTAAAAGATAGTTTTGTTCTGTTATATCACTAATGACTTTGGATGTAGGTGTAAACCTTAATGAATTAAATCCTACTGGATAAATGAAAGCAGGCGCCCTGTCAAAACTAAACCATCTGCTCTGCCAATTAAGCCCCGAGAAGCCTTCTCGGAAATGGGAAAATGTAAGCTCATAGACCAATCAATGCTCACAAACTGCAGAGCGGAAGAAAAGAAACTACTGAGAAAAAAGGGTTTCCGCTGCCAACTTCCATCAGCAGCAACAAAACTGACACAAAGCGTCTGCTTCCAAAAGTACATTTCCACCGGACTTTTTCCTGCTCATGCTTTTTGTTTTGATTGCATGCTGTGAAGAGAAAGAAATTGAGAGGGCAGGGGGAAAGAGGGAGGGAGATGACTATGATGCACATTTGTACAAATGTAGGAATGGTCACTTTGGATTCTGGAATGTTTATCTGACAATTGCATTAAAGCTGGTCTTTCCCAGAGCTTGGAATGTTTTATACTACAACTACCAGCATGGATAGTTGTAAGAATTGCAGCCCCAAAAATATATCTTCCAAGCTCTGGTAATTTCAGACACAGTGACAGCTGCCGGTTCTAATATACAAGAGACAATGAGTGTGCTCCAGAGTTTGATACAAACTAGAAACGAGCTATCCGTGTTTCTGAAACCTATCCCAAAATAGATTCAGTACTTTGAATGATGCTTTTAAAATTTGAACTAAAAACTAGAGCAACTTCACCACTTCACTGACATCAGAGTCACCAGCTATGGTTTGTACACTCAGCTTAGGCACAAAGGTGAATAATATTCATATATTACAAGTTACTAAGTTTTATGTATATAGGCAAAGGTAATATCAGCATTGCCCCCAAGAAGTCCTGTTCTTTATCCAGAGGTAGTCAGATAAGATATGATTCACAACAATTCAGGTGTACACTCCAAGCTGAAAGCAGCCAAACTTTGCTGATTTCTATTTTTCCTTGTTTCCTCAACTTTTTAACTTGGGGCCTGTTTATACTGCACAGCTATTCTAATTTAACTGTCACGGCTGCATGATGTGAAATGCAGGCATTTGAAACTAAGAAAGAAACCGAAAATCCCATGATTCACTGGAATGTTATTGGTCAACAGAGTAAACTTGCCCTAAATCTAAGATGTCAGTTTGGTTATTTCTTTCTCTTAACTACAACTTATGATTCACTCCTTTGAATCCTGGTTCCATCTTCTTTTCTTATGTGATAGGTGCAACTGGCATTGAAGACCGTTTACAGGATGGGGTCCCAGAAACCATTGCAAATCTTCGCCGGGCTGGGCTGCAGATCTGGGTTCTAACTGGAGATAAGCAAGAAACAGCTATTAACATTGCTTATGCTTGCAAGCTGCTGGATCATGATGAAGAAATCATTACCTTGAATGCTGATTCATCGGTATGATTACATTGTCACACAGTATGAGGCTTGTAAAACTGGTAGATCTCAAACTATACACAGCTTGCCTACTATGCATTGCTGCTTGCAAGGTTCTTGAGAGTTAGCAAGCTACAAAGTCCTGTTGCAATCTGGAACATGCCTGCAATCTCTGTGAACTACTAAACCAAGCACAGTCTATAATACATTTGTGGAAACTCTGCGGTGTTTTAATAAAAACCCTTACTTCTTGTTAATACTATAGGATTAACAAGGAAATTAGAAGGCATGGTCTTACACATGTCAGACCAAGATGGAGCATGTGTGGTCTTCCAATTCATATTGGATCTCACCTCATATCATCTCTTACCATTGATGATGCTGGCTAGGACTAATGGAAGATAAAGTCTAGAAGGGTTTGAACTCTGTGTTAAGTCATATGATGTATCTGATTTGCAGCTCAGGTTAAATAGGGTTGTTTGGATAATATATTTCCTGCTATAAAATGGATAATCTTGCTTATTGAAGTTCTGCTGAAAATTGAATACCATTGTCTTTTTATTAATTTATTTCTTTTTTAAAGCTCATCTTTTTTTCTGTGTGGATACTTCCATGGGCCCTGAATATTATGACTAGCTAAGCATGATTGCCATTCAGTTGTCACAGGAAGCACATAAAATGTTTCGTTTAACTGCCGTAGGTGTAATAAAGTATAAAAGAAAGTCAGTAAAGGAACAATTATGTTTAGTTGTTGCAAAATGCTGGAGAATCTGGTGACACATTAAGGACTAGCAGATTTCTTGTAGTCTATATTTTCATGGGTTACATCTTCACCAGAACAACTGTATATATGCAATACTTATTTTTTCAACCTTCATATCATGGCAATCTTGATCTGTGATTCAATACACACTGGTGCAAAGAAAGACAAGTAGGAATTGATTCTTGTGATTTTGACAAATGTTAAAAGCTAAACCTGGAAAAGTTTCTATGGTCCAAAAAGTTGACCTTTCTATGTCACAGTAGTGTGAAGCTCATGACATATTGAGTTGTTCACAGTTCCCTTGCCTCAAAAACATTCTTGAAGGTTCAGCTCTCACCACGTTAAAGGGAAATTCACTGTGTGAATTGAACCCTTGGAAGCCTTGCAACATTGTCACTAAAAAGGATCTCTTCCCTTCTCAAGTACAAAATAATTGACAGCAGAGGCAGCTGTGAAAGACCTGTGATTTAAGGATAAAAACATATTTTACTTCACAGATGAAGAGTATGGAATTTATCCACTTTTACAGACATCCATATCTTAATGCATTGTTAAAATAAAGGAGTCCATAAACTCTAGTTTCTGGATCAAATAACATGTTCATCAAATGCTTTTCTTTGGCTGCCTCTTCTTTCAAACATTAGGCAGTTGAGACTGGTGGTGTTTCCCCAAGCCTGTGCCACCAAGTGTGGTTCACTTTATGGACCCAACTGGTGCCTTTTATTTTATTTTTTTGAAAAAGGTCCAGATTTTTGAACTGATTTGGAATTAAAAAACATTCCACTTGCCTTCATTTGATTACTGTTTGAAATAGTTTTTATTTATTTGTTGCTATTGTGCCAAAGATAGACTAAAATGCAATACAGACTAGAAACCATCTTTTACTATTTACTTTGGTTTCTGTTATTAACTTTCCAAAATAAAGCAGAAATATAAAAAGGAGTTTATTTTAATTGTCAAAACCCATTAAGACTCGATACTTCTTTGATTTTTCCGATACAATAAAAATAGCATCCAATTATTCTGAAAGTTCTGTGTAGATGTGTCTTTAGATATACAAGAGAGTTTATCAATCTCTGTCAATTGAATCAACCTAGCCAAACATCCACTAAAGGAATCTTTTCTAATTTTCAGTTTTGTGCATAAATAATGCAAGCAGCTATTACTGCATTTGGGGGACGGGGGAATGTGTCTTTTAGCCTATACTTCCATTAGCTAAACCTAGAAAAATATCTCTGATTTAAGTTTTTTAATACAGTTTGCAGTACTTATTTCACTGCAAGCCAGACAGCTTTAGATCTTTGCATGTCCACCATGTATGGGAAAATGTGCCTTTCTACTTTTTGCATTTCCTGAAATTATTACCACAATTTTTGTGAACTTTTGCCAATTTTAATGGGGCGATATGTCATCTGAACAGAGTAAGCTTTTGAAGTTGGATTTACAACAACAACAGCAACAGCAACAACTTTATTTATATCCCACCCTATCTCTCCTTGGGGACTCAGAGTTACCAACAAACAAAGGCAAACATTCAATGCCCATATCAAACACCTCCTCAGCTAACCGAAGAGCCCGGGCACGCTTAAACAAGGAGATGCAATTCACTAGATAGTCTTGCTCCTGGTATGGCATACCTTTCTTTCCTAATTATTATTGTGTTCTGTTCTAGGAAATGTGTGCCACATTATTGGAACAGCACCTGCACTGCTTAGAATCTAAATTTTTGAATGAAACCTCAGAAAAATCTTCAGAGAAAGAGACCACAAAGTTGACTCCAGTCTACCTAACATCGTCTTTGGCACATCCAAGGCTGGGCTTAGTCATTGATGGAAGAACGCTAGCTTATGCTCTTGATAAAGGCCTAGAAGACAAATTCCTTTTGTTGGCCAGGAGGTGTCGTTCTGTACTGTGCTGCCGATCTACCCCAATTCAAAAAGGAATGGTTGTGAAACTGGTCAGGGGAAAACTCAAAACAATGACCTTGGCAATAGGCAAGTACTTTCCATTAACAAAATGGATCTGCATGAGTACAAAAGCAAAGTGTCTTCTTTTGTTCAGACAGAATCATTGCTCTTCCATTTAAGTCTGCAAGTTCTTTTCAGCATTACTTGTGTGTGCATGTATGTATATGTGTGTATAGAGCTATTCTTCCATTTTGTTTTTTTCCTTAAGAAGCTTTTTTAAAAGGAATGTTGTTTGCAACATGGTCACATGCTTAAACAATTTTAAAATAGGGTGGATATGAAAAAAAATAGGGTTGACGAAAGAAATGAGAAAAATAAGTAAAATAGAAAAGTAAAATTGAAATATATTTTTGTGAAACAAAGTATTTACCATTGAAAAGGGATTAAATTTGAATTATGCAGAGGTTGCAGAGTTTGATACACATGCACGCACCCACATGCCATGGACCTTTTAATGTGATGCTGTGGAAGACTTGTTCCAATTTTTATTTATTTAGTTTCAACAAAAATGCTTATTTACATCAATCACACTTCTGTTAGATGAATTGGTCTAATTCAAGGAAGCCTTAGGCACACTCTTGAATTCAAGTGCTTGAATTTTATAAATAGTAGAAAGTTTTGGAGGACAGGAAAAAAAAAACCCTCATATTTTGAGGCCCTGAATGTCAACCATCATCCATTCTGTTTGTATGCCACTTTTCCACAGTAAAGCAATGCTGAAAGTATCTCAGAAAAGTGTTGGTAAAATTAGGGGCTGGTGGGAATTAAGAATCTCATAACACCCACAGCTTTTCCAACTCTTTAGTCTAATCTAGTGAAAATAAGAATTGTGTGAGAAATCCATGTTAGTCCTTCTCTCACACCTAATTGCTTTGATTTTAAAGAGGAAACAGACAAGGGAAGTGGTTTCTCCATGTGTTTCCCTTCAGCATTTCTATCTGTGGAAAAATACTCTTAGGTATACGACTATTGTAAATAGATAAAGAAGCAAAGATTTGTAGCAAACCTGTATTATTTTGAAACATAATGTTATAAGGTTATCTGCAGTGTTTTAGAACAATGGGAAAAAGACAAATCGGATGATTTGACAGTTTATTAAAAGATAAATTGCAGTACTACTTTAGTTGTTGCAGATTGCTCTGTCTTAACAATTAGATTCATATCTTCCAACTGCAAAGAGTAAACCATTATTGGCTGGAAGGAGACACCTATCTTTCTCTTTAATAGTAACTCAATAGTAACAAAATAGGTTGTTTTGCAGTGCAGCAGGATCAAGGTATTAAACTAGCTCATGTAAAACTGAAGAAAGTAAAGAGGCCTAGAAATCTGTTCTCTCTTTAAAATACAAGCTGCGATTTCAGGATTTCATATGCAGTGCCACATTTCTTATCACATGGTATATATTTAGATAAAAACACTTTCCTGGTTTTAGTCCCTTTTTAATATTCCTAGTGAAATATTAATACTAACAAGAGAGGTGTTTCCAAGAATTCACACTCATGGATGTCAAATTTGCTGTGAAGAATGTGTGTTTTATACTTATTTTGATGGATAGATGTATGCTAACCAAAATTGTCCTCAAATAATAATAGAGTGGAATATAATCTCATCTAAGTAAACATTAGGCTTTGACGCGATTGTTTGACAAAGCTTAATATCTCCATCCCTTTGTCTCTTCTTCTACATTCCCTTTGTTATTAGTAATCTCTTCCTCAACTGTTAGTAAACAACATCTTCTCTGGTTGTTACTAGGTGACGGAGCAAATGATGTCAGTATGATCCAAGTTGCTGATGTCGGTGTGGGGATCTCAGGTCCAGAAGGCATGCAGGTAACATATGCTTGCTGAAAAGCAACCCCAGGATAGAGCTGGGTTTGTATGTTTTCCATACGTCTGTTTGCATTTTTCTTTCCCTGTTTGCTGCAAGAAATTGCTCCCTGACAGCTGCTGAAAATTTCAAATGTTCTTGCAAGCTGCCTTAAGGTTGACCAGGCAGGCTCTGTAAAAATTGTTTAGTGGAGCTTTTCTAGATTTCTCACAGCTATGGTCAGATTTGACATGTTCTATATACACACTTAAATAAGAGATAGTTTTTATTTTTAAAATAGAATTGAGTAGATACATAGGTTTGGAAGAGACAAGGGCCATCCAGTCCAACCACTGCCAAACATTATTTTTCTTTTAATAAAATATACTGCTACAAATATTGAAAGAGGCCACATAAAAGTAAAGCAATATACCCAGTTATTAAAAGGTTTGGAGATCCCTATCCAAATGCTTGGGATCGCATGTGTTTTGGTTTCGGATTTGGGGAGGGGGGGGATTTGGAATACCTGTATTCATATACACATATACAATGAAGTAGTTAATATATGGGACCTGCGTCAAAATACAAAATTATATTTTATTTACATCTTATGTGAATAATCTGAAGATAATTTTATGAATTATTTTTTAAATAATTTTATATATGAACAAATCAAAACCATCAAAAAACAAAGTTATCTTAGCCACTCAGATGGGCAATTTCCTATTTTGGATTTCAAAATTCCAGATAAGTGAAGTTTAACCTGCACTAAATATAGAAAAATAACATGCTTGTGGATTTCAAAGGCTTCTCTGTTTAGTCTGACATGGCAGTTGTTAGAGTAGCCCAGCATTTATTTATTATTTATTTATTTATTTCACAGTTTTCTATACCAAGCTTCTCAACCTCATTGAGGGACTCAGCCCGGTTTCCAGCCATAAAAAACATATACACTCATTAAAATATCATATCATCAACTTCCATCCAGGGTCCTATGGTGTTGTCTCATTCATCGAAGGCCTGACTCCACAGCCACTTCTTCACCCGTTTCCTAAATGTTAGGATGGATGGGGCGGTTCTGGCCTCCAGAGGGAGAGAGTTCCAGAGTCACGGGGCCACCACCGAGAAGGCCCTGTCCCTCGTCCCCACCAGGCACGCTTGCGAGGCCGGTGGGACCGAGAGCAGGGCCTCTCCAGATGATCTTAATAATCTTGACGGTTCGTAGGGGAGAATACGTTCGGAGAGGTAAACAGGGTCGGAGTCGTTTAGGGCTTTATAGGTCAACACCAGCACTTTGAATTGTGCTCGGAAGCTAATTGGCAGCCAGTGGAGCTGGCGTAACAGCGTAGTGGTGTGCTCCCTGTACCCAGCCCCCATTAATAATCTGGCTGCCGTGCGTTGGACTTGCTGCAGCTTCCAGGCAGTCTTCAAAGGCAACCCCACGTAGAGAGCGTTGCAGTAGTCTAAGCGGGATGTAACCAAAGCGTGTACTACCATGGCCAAGTCAGCCCTCCCAAGGTACGGACACAGCTGGCGCACAAGTTTTAATTGTGTGAATGCTCCCCTGGCCACCGCTGAGACCTGGGGTTCCAGGCTCAGCGATGAATCCAGGAGAACTCCCAGACTGCATACCTGAGCTTTCAGGGGGAGTGTGATCCCGTCCAGCACAGGCTGTAACCCCGTACCCTGTTCGGTCTTACGACTGACCAAGAGTACCTCTGTCTTGTCTGGATTTAGTTTCAATCTGTTGTCCCTCATCCAGTCCGAGACAGCGGCCAAGCACTGGTTCATGACCTGAACAGCCTCCTTAGTGGTAGGTGGAAATGAGTGATAGAGTTGGACATCATCTGCGTACAGATGACATCGCACCCCAAAACTCCGGATGATCTCTCCCAACGGCTTCATGTATATGTTAAACAACATAGGGGACAGTACTGAACCCTGCGGGACTCCACAGTGCAATGGCCGAGGAGTCGAGCAGGAGTCCCCTAGTGACACCTTCTGGGAGCGACCCTCGAGAAAGGACCGGAGCCACTGCAAGGCAGTACCCCCAAAACCCATTCCCGCAAGGCGTCCCAGAAGGATACCGTGGTCGACGGTATCGAAGGCCGAAGAGAGGTCCAGCAGAACCAACAGTTCCCGGCGCAGATCATCAACTAAGGCGACCAAGGCTGTCTCAGTACCATGTCCCGGCCTAAAGCCAGACTGTGACAGATCTAGATAGTCCGTGTCCACCAGGAATTCCTGGAGTTGCGAGGCCACCACACGTTGCAGGACTTTGCCCAAGTAGGGGAGATTGGAGACTGGCCAAAAGTTGACGAATTGAGTGGGGTCTAGTGATGGTTTTTTCAACAGCGGTTTGATGACAGCTTGTTTTAAGCTGGCTGGAATCTTGCCTTCCCAAAGGGAGGCATTAACCACCACCTTTACCCACTCTGCCAAACCCCCTCTGGCTTCTTTTACCAGCCAGGAAGGGCAGGGGTCTAGGATGCATGTGGTAGGTCTCGCCTCTCCCAGAACCCTGATGACCTCGTCGAGTTGAACAGATTGAAACGAATCCAACAAAACTGGACAAGCAGATGCTTGAGTTACATCCTCAGAGACTACAGTTAATGTGGTGTCAAAGCCCGCGCGGATCAAAGCGACTTTGTCTGCAAAGAACTGAGCAAATGCTTCACAGTGTGCTGCCGAGTCGTCAGGGGACCCACTCGAGGTGGGATTCAACAACCCTCTGACTACTCGGAACAGCTCTGCCGGACGGTTCCTTGCGGACACAATATTGGCCAAGTAGAAAGCATTTTGTGCGGCCTCTATTGCCACGCCATACGCCCTTAGGTAAAGGCGTAGACGTGTTCGGTTTGGCTCGCTGGGCTTTTTCCTCCACACGCTCTCTAGCCATCTCTTGGTTCGCTTTAGTTCCACCAACTCCTCGTTGAACCAAGGGGCAGGTTTTGCTTGGCGACTTAAGAGAGGGCGCTCCGGAGCAATCGTGTCTATTGCCCTAGTCAGCTCCCTATTCCAGTGAGCGACCAGGGCATTGACAGAATCACCATCCAAGGCAGCGGAAACATCCCCAAGAGCCATCAGGAGTCCTTCTGGATCCATAAGCCTCCTGGGGCGGACCATCTTAATGGGTCCACCACCCCTGCGGAGGTTAGAAATTGCAACGAGTCTAAACCTGATCAGATGGTGGTCGGTCCACAGCAAAGGAGAGATTTCTGTGTTCTCAGATAATATGCTGTGTCCAGGTTGGTTCATCAGATGTTTTGCTATGTCTGACTTCTTCTTCCAAGCTGCTGATCTTGTCTAACAAAGGACAAAAAGTATTGTTTCTGAGCTTGGAATATTTTTTTTCTGAGTGTGCTAATAAGAGTATATCCAAGCAGCTATAATTTGAAAGATTACTAGTAGCATCTTTCTACTGTGTCTTAACGCCCAAGTTCAGATGTGCTCCAGCCTGTGATGGTTTACAGGCATACTAAAATTACCAGTGTGGAGTAATATTTGAAGGACCTTATCTTCCCATGAACATCTGCCTGAGCTCTAAGGACTTCAAGGAAGAGACTGCTTTCTATCCCACTGCCTTCACAAGCATAGCTGATGGAAATCCAGGAGAATGACTTCTCTGTGGCTATTCATGTACTTTGGATCTCCTCCCTTCTTAGGAAAGCTCAGATGGCTCTTTCTCTGATACACTTTAAGCAGCAGGTTAAGGCTTCATTTCCAGAAAGGCTTTTGGAAATGATTTTTAAGAAGGTTTGAGAATGCTGTTGTGTATAAGTAGTAACCTTTCCCTGGTTCAGTCTCAAGGTCATAAAATGGCATAGAACAATAAAACAAAAGTGTCAAAAGTGAGAACCTTGACCTTAGTGCCCTATTTTATTGTGACAAACCAAACTATATTAAGAGCATACATACTTCTAAGAACAATGAATGATTTCAGCTTCCTAAAAAAAAACCTGGTTTCCTTAATTTAATTGGTACACTTGCAAAAGTGTTTGTCATATTCATAATTTACTTTCTGATGTATACACAAAAAATACTGTGCACTCAGGGCACATCTACGCTACTGGATAAATACGGTGTAAAGGCTCTGGAGCTGCTCCAATGAGAGTACGTTGGGGCTGCCACCACTGCATCACTACCAACAAGCAGCTCATTCCCAGAGACTTGCTTATGACATTGCTTTTCTGGTGAAATGGCTCAGCACCAGAAATGATATCATCAGAACTGCAGCATCACCAGCAGGCCTTTCAAAAACGGCTCGTTGTTGGCAAGTGGGGCTGTTGGATATGTGGACAGTGGATCGGTCTGGATCCAGCCCAGTTTAGTTGTCCACACCTTCAAAAATCTGAGATCACTTCTGGAGGTTCCAAAAAAGTCTCTGTTCTGTAGACATGGATTGAGGTCTGCTATGGTTCTGCTATGAATCCAGCTGTGCATCATGAGGAGTCCCCATGGCACCTTAGCAGTGAGTCCAGTTTATTTTGGTCATGTAAACATGGATTCATCTGTCTGCTCTTAAATACACTTGGTTAATTTATTTTACATTATTATTGTCCATCCATTAATTATTCACACTTGGAAGCAAGAGCTCATGGACAATTTATCTTGGATGACCCTCTCCTTCAACTATCACGAGAGAACTTCTTCATGCCTCGATGCTGCAAATGACAGAATCCTATAAATGATGAATGGAAGTTATCCTTTTCAATGTCCCACTAAATATTGACTTCACCACCAAAAAGCATCTTGCCTTTTATAAGGATTCCTTTATGAATGGGAATTAAGGAGTGGTTCATGCTACACACTGTTGCTTCCATAAAATGAGGAAGAAAATTGAATCTGTCAGTTTGCATTCAAATAGTTTTCTCCTCCTTTCACTCTGATCAAAAATAGACCCATTGGGGGAAAATGCACTCAAGTAATTTTGTGGAAATGCAGAAGTAAACCTGTTTCCTTTCCATCCCATTATAGAAAAATTGCTTGGGCTAGAGAAACAGAAATTGTGATGGGCAGCCTACTAATGTTTATATACAGGAAATTAAATGCATTGTTTTGGCTAGCCACTCGTCCGTGCCTTCTTTTGGTGAGAAAGATTGCTGGCTAATTGCTCAGTGACTGTTGCTTCTTTAGTAGGAGACAATGGTCAGAGGTGTACAGAGATCATTGCTGGAATGTCAGATGCCATCGTCAAGAGAGTCATTTTTTTTTCTCCTTCCCCACTTTATAGCTTCGCAACTCTGAGTTCATTTTTGCTAGCATTGGCAAGCAAAACATGGAAACAAGAAATTTGTGGATACAGTTAAAGCCTGCATAAAAATGTATTGGCATTTTTGTACAGCTTTTCCCCAGTAGAGGCATTTTGTACCCAGTTTTTGCAAGTGAGTTATTTTTTTATAATAGAATGCAGTTTTGCATAGTGCCCTCCAAAAAAATGTATATTTCCAACACTTTCGCTTTTGGGTTTTGAACAGCATTATAAAATCCTGAAAAGTGCTGCATTTTGGATACAATGGGTTTAACCCATTGTGTTACCAGGGGCTCCTACTGATGTCACACCTGGTCACCTAGTTATGTGACCAACGTGACTGATAGGAAACCTCTGGCAGGGGCCTGTTTAGTGATGATGCAGCAATTGATGCACCCTCAGCTCAGTTGGCCATGGTTTAAACTGGATTACTCAGGTAAGTGCACACATGTCCCCAGAGATCATTAAACACTCATGTATAAATCAAAACACTATAGTGCAGATCACAAAGAACTTACACTAAACTGCTTTTAAAACCTGGGTATCATCTCTTCCTATTCACCCAGAGTTTCTACTGAAATAGACGGAAAGCATCTGAAAATAATTGGCCAGGATTGCACATCATTTGATATCTTTAACTTTTGACATCAGCTGTAGTATTTTGCAGTGCAGACAGACACAAGTCACCAATTGATATCATCTAATGATGAGGTACCAGGTAATGACAGGGAAGAATAAAACTTTACTTTGTGAATCGTATTGGTAGGCAGTGTTAGTGGTATTCTTTCTCTTTATAAACTCAATGGGACCTATCCAGTATTATATATCTATGTAATATATGTGATTCCATTAAAATGTGTGCAATTTCTGTAATTAAAATAAATTTTGAGCAAGAAATAATTGCTAATTTTATTGGTTTGAAGGCTGTGATGGCAAGTGACTTTGCAATACCAAAGTTCCGGCATTTGGAGAAACTCTTGCTTGTACATGGTCATTGGTGCTACTCTCGGCTTGCCAACATGGTCCTGTATTTCTTCTACAAAAATGCGGTTAGTATGTTGTTGTTGTATCTAAATTGTATTGATGAATCCCTTTTACTTATTTATTCTGCCCAGAAGTGATTTTCACTTTGATTTTGACATAGTAATAATGAATCATTCTACATTTCAGAACCCCTCATTTCAGAAGTTCAGTTTTATACCAATCTGCTGTACTTTCACATTGCTTATTTTAACAGCTTTTTTAAAAAATGCAGCACTTGTGGAAATGCATATGGTATTAATGAAAATGTAGACCCTGCTCTGTGTCAGGAATCATGTGCTGAAGAATCAGTATGTGTAAATTCGATAAGTTATCAAATGAGGCATTTATGTAGAATCTTGGGTAAGAGAGACATGAAAAGTCACATTTTTCTCTTTTTCTTTTCTCTTTTGTCCTTTTTCTATTGTATTCTTTAAATTTTATTTTAAAGTGTTTTAGTTTTTATCTTTTTTTTCTTTCTAATATTTGTAGTTCTTATTGTAATTTTAATACTGTCAGTTCAATTATTATATTAAAAAACAAAACAAAATGATGGCATAGAATAGAGTCAATCCTGTGACATACACGAGGGAGATCAACCTGGGATAAGTTATTATATATTCCAGGTTTAGATACCAAAGCCTAAAAATGCATCAGGACAGCCACATGATCAGGCAGACAGCATTTTTAAAAAAGTATATTGGTCTTAAATATGGGTTTTATTTAATTGTTTTCACTTTTTCCTTATTATTGATATGACTGTATATTTCTGAAGCTTATTATTTTCTAGCATTTAAATTTGGTTGGTTATTAATTACCCATATTTACTCTAGTGTAATGCACCAGCAAATGTAATACACACCTCAATTTTACAAAATCCATTACAATTTTACAAAATCCATTACAAAAAAATGGATTTGCCTCAAATGTAATATGCTCAACAACAGCACAGGTGTAGTACTTCAGAGAGGCAGTCAACATGAATAAGGCCATTTGGGAAACCACACCCTTCTGTCAGGCTAAAGCTGGTGAACCTGCCAGCCTTGCACAATTCCCAACTTGTAAATGAGGCCAGTTTGGAACTGCATGGAATTGAACCAGGAGAGGGGAGGAGGATGAGAGATCCCAAGAGCCATCCAGGAGGCAAAATGAGGGATGTAATGAGGAATATGTATGTAAATTTTGATTAAATTTTATGAAGAAAATAATCCATGAATCAATCCAAATACAAGATTTTTTCACTCACTTCTGTATTCTCATAAATGCGTGATAGGACATACTTTTGCAGGAAAATGTCTGTAACAATATCCGAGGTGATTAAAAAGTGCTGATACTCTTCCATTTTGACTGCCAAAATACTGTGAGCACCATATTAGTCTGCTCTTCAGCTGAATAAAAACAATACAATTGAATTGCCAGGAAGCATACACTATTTTAGTCTGGATAAATTTGGACTGGAAGAACACACTTCTGTCCCATTCAGCTATTTCTGATTTATTTTGCTCAGAGGCTATCTTTAAATTAAACATAAAGCCTTATAAATTGATTTGTTCTGAAGACCCTCGTTGATCTTTCAAAGAGCCATTCTAGTTTGAATTGCAGATTTTCTTTCTTAAGAATTCCTGGGGCAGAAATGTTCAGACCACTTCCACTGCAGTAGTGTTTCAGGAGCGAATAGAATTACTCTAGGGAGAACAGTTAGATGAGTGTGGTACTATAATATGACAAAACAAGTCTAAATATTGCTTGTGTGCATGTGAGCAACATCGCAAAAATGGAAACATAGGACTTTCTAGTAGATGTACTCACTGAATTGTTTTTGCAGAAGTGTCCAGTAATTACCAATGATTTAGCAAACATGTTGAAATCATATGTTGTGAGACGTGGCATACAAGACAATATATACAAGGGGTATCCAAAAAGTATGTTTCCCTATGCTACAAAACATTTTCAACAATGATTGAAAAATTACAAACAACATTTATTTTCACTCTACAATGTTCCTTCAGTTCTCAACAAAGTCTCCAAGTTTCTCCAGGCATTCCTGAAAATGTGGTAACAATTTTTGTATACCTTGTGTATACCACTTTGCCATTTCACCATAGCAATCCAAAAACCAAATGTCAGAGTATGGTTTGGTAGCCAAAAGGGGGAGGGTGCACCAAAGAAAGCGAAAGTCACAGCAAAACTGATGGTCACTGTTTTCTGGGAGGCCTAGGATGTTATCCTTGTCAGTTACCTTGAACATGGGACCACGATCAATGCAACCAGATATTATGAGTTCTTGGGAAAGCTTTGTATGGTGATAAATAACATGAGAATGTAAGACCTCACACTTCACATCAGACGCAGGACCTCCTGCAGAAGTTTAGATGAAAAATATTTGGGCATCCTCTGTACTCTCCCAACCTAGCCCCTAGTGACTTCCAGTTCTTCCCAAACCTCAAAACTCACCTAGGTGTCTGCAGCTTTTGCACTGATGACAAGGGATCTCATCATATTGATTCCCCTCCCTTCTCTTTTGGTCCGTTTCACTGGTAATCGAAATGGAAGGTATGTGGGGTGCCTCGTGGTGACCCGTGCCCCCTCCCTCCTTCTCCCATCAAATGGTACATTGGGGCAAGGTGTGTTGACACCCTGTCTCCATGAGATAGGGGAAACTGTAGCAACGTGCACAGTTGGGGGAAAAGGCCAAAAACAGCTGTTCAAAAACTCAATTCAATTACTGTGGTTGGTGAGGAAGCATCTTGTGACACTTCTTCACCACTTCAGCCATCAGTGGGATGGGGCCATGACCTGTGTCATGTGATAGCACTCAGTACGATCCATGGTTTGGTTTATCCTAACACAGGGAAACTTACTTTTTGGACGTTCCTCGTACTACAGAGGTAGAATCACACAGCACATTTCCAGGCTTCTATCTGGAGGATAATATCTCCCTGCCCAGGCTCTGCAATCATTAGGAGAGAGTATTTTCCCAGTACAATCATAGGCACTCTTGATGAGAACATAAGAGGGGGCCTTCTTGGTGACTGACCTTAGATTCTGGAACTCCTTTTTGAAGGAGACTAAAATGGCACTTACCTTACTGTATTTATGAAGAAGGTAATCCCAATCTGTATTTAGGAAGGTCCTGTGGGTGTTCACTGTCGTTTATTCCTTAATATATGTGCATGGGATAGATTGCAAGCAGCCTTTGTTATTGCTACAAAGGTTCAATAGGAAATGTTGTCTCAATTTTTCTGAATTTACAATTTTGATTTCCAGTGCCTGAGGTGACTTTATGACTTGGTGGTCCAATTTTGCCAGGTCAGTTCGGTGTGGAGTGGGTGTCAGCTTAAGACCTCCTTTTTCAGAGAGTGTTGCTATATAGTTCCTTACCTGTGAATTAACTTCTATTGCTCAATGCTCATATGTGGCTGGTCAGGATGGAAATGGGAAATGTTTCAGCTTCTGATATTTTGCTACAAATGCAGCCATTCTGTACTCATCAATATATATCATTTTCTGCCTTGCTGCTGTGCCCTTCTCCATTTAAATCCCTGAGGCACCCACCTGCAGATAAATCATGTTACAAATGGGCTGGGGAAGGCATATAGTTTCCTTTCTCTCCCTTTGTATAAGTAACACCTTGTACAATTGAATCCTTTTGTTCAGAGAAAGCCACAGAACTGAATTTGTGCCTATTTTCTGGAAACCAGTTACTTTTAAGAAGAATGAATGTCATGAAGCAGAGCCATCCATAATGGAGCAATGGGGAATTGATATTTTGGGACCCCATTCTGTTCAGTTATAGATGGTTTCAGCATGTCATGGTATTCATTCTTCTTAAAAGTAACTTTTCAAGCACAGCAAAAAAGTAATAATGTGTCTGAAAAGGGAGATGTCTTACAGAATAAAGTGGTGCTTGTAGATCTTACTGCTGCCTGTTGTTAACATGTTGCTCTTTTATTTCTTTTTCAAAGATGTTTGTCGCCCTTCTTTTCTGGTACCAGTTTTACTGCGGATTTTCTGGGTCATCCATGATTGATCAATGGTACCTAATCTTCTTTAATTTGCTATTCTCCTCTCTTCCCCAACTGGTTGTTGGAGTGCTCGATAAAGATGTACCTGCTAGTGTATTAATTGCTGTGCCCCAGCTCTACACAAGTGGCCAGAACATGGAGGTAAAAAATCAGCTTTACTGTGTCTTTTCTTGTCCTGCATGTAGGTTTGAAACTGATTGACTAGCACAGTGTTTCTCAACCTTCCTAATACCACAACCCCTTAATACAGTTTCTCGTGTTGTGGTGACCGCCAACCACAAAATTATTTTTGTTGCTACTTCATAACTGTAATTTTGCTACTGTTATGAATTGTAATGTAAGTATCTGATATGCAGTATATATTTTCATTCACTGGACTGAATTTGGCACAAATACCCGATATGCCCAAATGTGAATACTGCTAAGGTTGGGAGGGAATTGATTTTGTGATTTGGGAGTTTTTGTTGCTGGGATTTATAGTTAACCTACAATCAAAGAGCATTCTAAACTCCACCAATGATGGAATTGAATGAAACTTAGCACACAGATCTCCTATGTCCAACAGAAAATGCGGGTAGGGTTTGGTGAGCATTGACCTTATGTTTTGGAGTTGTAGTTCACCTACATCCAGAGAGCACTGTGGGCTCAAATAATGATGGATCTGGACCAAACTTAGCATGAATGCTCAATATGCCCAAATGTGAACACTGGTGGAGTTTGGGGAAAATAGCCCTTGACAGTTGGGAGTTGTAGTTGCTGGGATTTATAATTCACCTACAAAGAGCATTCTGAACCCCACCAAGGATAGAATTAGGCCAAACTTCCCACACAGAACCAACAGAAAATACTGTGTTTTCTGATGATCTTTGGTGACCCCTCTGACACCCACTCCCGACCATCTACCCACTCCTCTAGTCTTCCCAAATGCCTCCCTACTCATGTTACCTTACTTTGAGCTCTCCCAGAACTCCATATCTTTACTTGTGTCAAAAGGAATGACCCTAGCTGGAAGAGAGGGGGAGAGTTGAAAAATACATTGGACCCGTTTGCTCTTTGTGGAGATATAAAAGAGAAGGGTCTGGGTCTGTGAAGTGCTTATGAGTATATGTGTAGATACATTTTGGTGAATTAGGAAAGAGGGGGTTGGAGGACAGTGTTGGACCACATTGGAATGATTTGATACAGTGGAGTAAAATAAGAGTTGTTGTTTTTTCCAGACTGGGATTCAACTTCATGAACTAGGGAAGAATTTGATCATTATCAAAGCTTACTTGTTAGATCAGCTTTACAAGCCTCAAGCCCCCATATTTTACCCTGTGCTCAGAGACGATTGAATCTAAAATCCCCACAAGTTACTCTGCATCTTTTTATAGAATTGTATTCTGAAATGGTTCATCAAAACCTACATTCTTGATATCTGGTTCTCTATTGCAGGAATACCAACCACATATGTTTTGGATGAACATGATTGATGCTCTATACCAAAGCCTGGCTTGCTTCTTCATCCCTTACTTTGTAAGTTTTAGGTACAGAATTAACACACTCTTCTTTTGTTCTCTAATCAGGAAGAAAGGGTTTACCAGACCTGGTAAATATTGCATAGGCAAGACTATACTTTTGTAGATATGTTTCTTGGTTTTATGGTACTAAAACTAAAAAGAAAAGACAAAGAACAGAGCTGATCAATGTCACATTAACGAGGATCAAATGACAGTGGACTAACAATTTAGTTTAATGTATATCTGGAAGGGTATCCAAGCAGAAATATTGATGTTAGGACATGCATTCAGATGTTCCGGTTTTCCAGAGTCCTGGTCAAACCACCAGATACCACATGGGTCTCTGAAGCTAGTACAAAGTTTAAAAGTGGCAACAGTATGGCTGCAGGTGGTCAGGAACATCATTCTGGGAAACTTTTGGAACAAATAGGGACTGAAATCTCAGTCCCTGTCAGACTTATACTGGTGGAGAATATTGTTGCATAGAATTTGGAAACTACAAGAATAAACTAGCCAATTTGACCACAAGCCTTGTTGGTTAGGAGGTTGTAGGAACTATAGCCCCAAATGTAACTTTTCTAAATTGTACTGTGGCACCAAAATTATGTTCTCATCCACCAGGGTATTTTATTTAAAAAACATAGGTAGTGTATTGGATAATCTCCTAAATTTAACTTTGAATATGTTTTGATGGTTCTTAACTATGATTTTTTTAGTGCTGATTATTTTTAATTCTGTTGCATATTTGGTTGCATATTTGTATATTTTAAACTGTATACTAATTGCATATTTGTATATTTTAAACTGTATACTAATGCTTTATGTCAAGCTGCTTTGACTCCCCTTTGGGGAGATAAAGAGGGGTATAAATAAATATAATATTAATAATAAATTTGAGAGTTTGATGTTCCAAAAGACTAATTTTCTTAATTTTCATTTAATGTTTTCAGATATATTATGATTCAGATGTGGATATATTTTCATGGGGAACCCCTATCACCACCATAGCTCTCTTCACCATTATACTGCATTTGGCCATTGAAACCAAAACATGGGTAAGTTGCTTACATAAACATGGTGTAGAAGTTGGCCCAGTATCTTTGAATTGCAATCATTCTGTTCAGTCAAACACACAATTTGCAAATACTTTCAGCACTTATTAGAAAAAGAAGATATCAGCTTCCTGATGCAGCTGTGGATTTCATCATGACCTTGAACGTATTTCTGTGAAACTCAGAAATAACACATAAGAAGTTGACTTCATTTTAAGCCCCACTAGGCTGGCTTATCCACCAGTTGGCTTGCATTACAGGATTCACTTTTGCCCTCCCAGTTTCATTACATATAGTTTCTGTTCCCATCATTATACCTATAAGTTCTGTCTGTTCAGCTGTATGAGATGGTTCCATCAGGTGTGCCAGCTTTGAGAAATATATCACATAACCTATTTCTTACTCAACTTTACTTCCAAAATAGTTAACTAAAAATACTGACTTTGCAAAAATAACTTTCTTTAATCCCATGGGATGGAGTGTTTTCTTCATGCATGTGCACTCATTTTATTTCGTCCCTTCCCTTACTTGATTTACCCCTGTGCCACCAGACAAAATTAAAATTTTAGTTTCTGAGAGATTTCTGTGTGTAAACATTATTTTTAACTTATGGTCATGCAGTGAGTTAAAGGTGGAATGCTGCTAAAATCCTGTTGATGAGTTTCAACAAGACTAGTCGCATTAAATCAACTCTTGAATGCGACTAAATGTAGGATTGAGACATGTGTGTCTGGGTTGTTGTAGGTTTTTTCGGGCTATATGGCCATGTTCTAGAGGCATTCTCTCCTGACGTTTTGCCTGCATATATGGCAAGCATCCTCAGAGATAATGAGGCCGTCGTCTTCCTAACTTATCATCACAACTATCCTGTATGGTAGGTCAGGCTGAAGGAAATTCATTTTTATGGCTGGGTAGGGTCTAGATTATGGATCCTGGAAACTTCCATCCAATATTACTATACAAATTACTGTACTAGGCAACTAGACCAGATCATATGAGATGGCACCCACACTGCAACAAAAATATGCAGATCAGTCCACTTATCCACTTTTCAACTAACAGAAAAAAGTAAAACAAGACCACCACCCCGCAATGTCCTAACTCATCATTCTTCCATCTCTACAATCTCTACCAACATAGAATAAAAACACGAAAGGAAGAAGAAGAAAAAGTTCAAAACACAACAGACTTTTCCCTTCCTCAAGCAAAGGCAACTATGAAACTATTGAATATACCTCTTGTTCTCCTTAATTGCATTTCAGCATCTGCTAAATATAAACCTCTATATTTAAAATTAATACACAACTATAAGTAACATGCGTATTAACAATTTGTCCATTTGACTGGAATTCAGATCATTCATCATTTAAGGTGCTGGTGTTATCCTACAAAGCCCTAAACGGTTCCGGCCCAAAATACCTTTCGGACCGCATCTTGGCCTATGAGCCCACGAGGACCTTGAGATCGTCTGGGGAGGCCCTTCTCTCGATCCCGCCTGCTTCACAGGCACGTCTGGCGGGGACGAGAGAAAGGGCCTTCTCGGTGGTGGCCCCCCGGCTGTGGAACGACCTCCCTGCTGACATCAGACAGGCGCCCTCCCTTCTGTCCTTCCGTAAGAGCCTGAAGACCTGGCTATTTGAGAAGGCATTCAACTGAGCGCTACGGCAACTGGTAATTGACAACTGGAACGGAATACGGATTACGATATTGGTTATGATTCTATGATGTGACGGAGCGGATTATTTAGTGTAACTAGATTATAGTGTATTATTGTTGTATTGATTTCCTGTTTTGCCCTTTTGTAAACTGTTTTTATATGTTGTGCACCGCCGCGAGTCGCCCTAGGGCTGAGAGCGGCGGTCAATAAATGCAGTAAATAAAAATAAATAAATAAATCTTTAGATTATTACCTTAATATCTCACCACATTTACTCCTTAATTTAAATTAATCATATCTATCTGAAATTATTCTGCCATTTTTACTTTTAATCTAGCTTGATCGTATTGTATTCAAACATTTTTTTTCTACTTATTTCATCAAGCCACCTCCCTCCACAAAAAAAAGTCATTGGTTTACTTTAATTGTTCCTTGAGCTTGTTTGGAGGTTCTAGCAGGGGAGCGCAGCTATCGTAAACCCGGGACCGAAGACTGCTAACACAAGCTATAGATTCACTGAAGAACCGCAGTGATTCTGACAAAGTGATTTTGCTTTTAAATTGCCAGGACTTTAGCTGCTGCCTTTCAGTGGCAAGATTCCTGAATGAAGTCTGCAAACTGAATGTGTAGCAAACGAGAAGCCCTTTTTTTATTACGTGTACTATGTTTTATACTCTCTGCCATGTTATGCCAATAAAGGCTTATTGTATTGTTGTTACTTTAATTGTTCTAGAATTCTTCAGTTGTTTATCCCAGTCCGGTTTTAGTGTTTTTCTTATAAGTCAAGCCAGCTTTAAGATAAACACTTTATATGTTCATTTAATTTTAGCATGCTTCTCCCATTAAAATGTAGTATCAAATGATCCACACAGGCTTCCTCTATGCAAATTTCCTTCTTTTACAGGGTTTGTCTATTTCTTTTGATAAACTGAAGAGCTTCAACATCTTCCCTGTGATGTTGTATAGGACACAGCCTGTCCTTAATCAATCTGGTTTGCTAAATCTTGTTCTTGTTTTCTGTAGTTTGTTTTACAGCTGTCAAAGGGGTTTTTGCTTCAAATATTATATTTTTAAGATCCTGCTTGATTCTACTTTTTGAAAAAGTTGTTTTTTGAATTTTAATACCATTTCCAGGACCTGTAGCTGTAACATTTTGGGGCAGCAGAAGCAATACTACAAGGAGTTATTTACAGCCTTTCTTAAAAAATGAACATAAATTAGTTGCTGTTAATATTTCTTGTTCTTACATAGATAATAAAGTTTTACTTTCTGGCAGCAGATGTTTTAAATTATTCACTTGTTGCAACTAATTTATCTCCTTTTTAACTCGAAGCTAACTGGCCTTGCCCTTCTCTGATACTCAAATGAGATGAGTTGCTCTTTCAACATCAAAGAAAAAGGAGGAGGGAGGCAATCTTCTCCAGCTAACCAGCTGGCTCTTAAATTGTCCAATCAAATGCTAATAAATATAGGCGAGAAGGACACAACTTTCCTTAATTTAAGGAGATTCCCAATATTTGCACTTCACTAAAGGTGATTTATAATTCATGGAAGGGCATTTAATCTGGAGTTCTTCAGTTTATAGTAGAGGCCACTTTCATATAGGGGGTAAAATGATGACCAGAGCCTCTGTCTGTGATGCTGCTCACCTCAGGGCTAAGAAGATAACTTAAAACAGATTAATGGCTCATGTGGATTATCCACCAATACCTATAAAATATTATCTCACTTTTGGAGCTTTTTTATGCAAATTGCTTCTTCCCCAAGACAAGAGGTGACGAGAAAGAAACTTTCACTACAGGCCATATCTCCAACATCACCTCAATATCATAAATCCCATTTTTAGTGGTTTTTCCTATAAATGAGATGAACAACTGAATTTCGACAATACAACAACTGAATTTAATGGAGAATTGCAGCCTTTCCACGTGTAAGCTCCTTTTCTCATGGGGTGTTACTTGTCTTTGCTATTCCTTTATTTAGCCATAGATTAAGTAAACCACATAATGTTAGGGGATGTGATCAGTTTTGCTGCTCAGGACAGCCTATTTCAATGTATGGTTTGTGGAAATGCACTGATGCTGGACAAGTTGATTGCAGAGCCATCAGAGACATTTTAGTCCAAGGGAAAAAGGCAAGGAAAGGACAAAAGAAGTAGAGGTCAGAATTCAAAATCATGCTAGCAAATGAATGAAAGATTTATGTAGAGATCCTGTCAAACTTCATAATTAACCAGCACAGAACACAAATTAATCTAGCTCTTAGCATCTGGTGGATTAGGGGTTATACAGTTCACAATGTAAAACAGTGTTCTTCCCATGCATTCTGTGTGTCTGTAATGTGAGTCTGTTCAAGTCCTAAAAAATGCTCAGACAGAGGAAAACATATATCCCTAGAGGGGATTTTTAAGATAAATATTAAGGAAATAATAATGCTGATCTTGTCTGACCAAGCACTAGGGAAATCCCCAACCTAATCAGACTGTAGTCTTTCAAAAGGTTTTTGATACTTCCTCAGCTTGCTATCCTCCTGGCCTATATTATATTTTCAGTGTATGGGGAGGATACAACTTTCAACCCAGAAACTTCGTTGTTATTTAATGCACATTGCAGTAGATTAAAGTTTAAAATAATAATGGTGTCATCAGTTTAGAACTCAGGGGGAGGAATATTTATTTTCCAACCGTTCTCCAAAGATATCCATAATTATTAAACCCATTTAGAATTGAGCTGAACAATATTGGCAAATCTTTCTGCAGTTGATTACACAGATGCTATCTAATAGGTGCTGGTGGCACTAGCCCAAGTGGCATACTCATAACAGACCTGAATAACTATTTGTTCAGATAATAATATTTTATTTCCCACACTTGCTTTAGTAATGTGTTAGCAGGAGTTTCCTCACCTGGGGAATGTTTGATGGATTTGGTATTTTATTCATTCAGTGGGTTTTGGTCTGACTGAAGAATCCCTTCAGCGGGAGCTAGAAAAGCCCTTTACATCTAATCTAGATTTTGTATCCTTACATTTCTCCCATCTGTACAGCAAACACTTCCTCACATTGGTGGAAAGATGAATATAGCACTTTGCCGGATTATAATCTCAACAGTGACCTTTTCCAAACTCTGATGAAAACCTAGTCCATGTTTCTTGCATTCTTTGTAGATATCAGTATTCTACATTCATGCTAAGTATGTTTCTTTCAGACGTGGCTTCATTTGTCATCATGTGTCTTCAGTATTGTTTTATTCTTCATTGTGGCTCTCCTTTACAATGCATCGTGCCCAATATGTTATCCTCCATCCAATCCATACTGGATCATGGAAAAGCTGATGGGAGAGCCTATGTTTTACCTGACTTGTCTTATAACACCCCCTGTGGCTTTGCTTCCCAGGTAAAGTATTATAGACTTTACAACTTTCATTCCTTTCTAATAGTTCTTGGAAATATTTAGTTAAACTGTAGGCGTATACATATGCTGTGATAATCAAGCGATATCATCAAGCGGACAGTCTCAGATGTATCAGTGGTTTTATTCTTTAGCTATTGGCCATAACAAATATATGAAATGAGTATCAAATCAGAAGAAAACACATTTGTTGGCAGATTTTCTTTGAAAAACTGAAAAGCTATGAACTTAGGTAACAATAAAAATTCTACATATATATTTTCATAGCCCTAGGCAGCCACTCATGTAGTTTGGAAACTAGGGAGGGTTAGAGGTCATGTCTGTACATCCAATCTCCATACAGTCAAGATCCTGATGAATTGGGATGTAAATGCAAACAGTTAGATATAAGCTTCCTAAACCTGATCTGTGAAAATTTGAAATTCACTAATCAACAATATTGATGTTCTATTTAATATTTAGAATAGAAGAACAATCCAATTTTCTGCTCAGTTCACCATTTTAAAAATACATTAAATCTGCACTATTCTTTCTTGGTGGGATAGCAGTGGTGTTTGTTGTTATTAAGAGATACTGTGGATGCTTCAGGGAAGGGGAGGTAGGTCCGGAGGTTTAATTCAATAGTTTCGGTGCAACTAGAGTATACCCAGTGCTGGTGTTGTAACCAGCACTATCAGTAGATTTCAGCCATTGTCTCCACATCCCAGAAACATGCAACATTTCCTCCGATGGTAGTCTAACAAATTAACCCTAATATACTATTCATGTTTTAAAAGGAATTGGCACCATTATTATTTCAGTACATTGCCTTATCTATCCTTTATTCCTTTCCTTATCAGATTTCTATACAGAACTCTTCAAGGGACACTATTCCCAACCCAGCTTCAGCTTGGGCGCCAGTTGTCAAGGATGCCCCCAGACACTCTCAATCAGCTTGTACACAGATGGAACACCAAAAAGGAGACTGATCCTCATAAATACCCTTCTGCTCATTATTCTCCACAAAGCTCATGTTGCATTGCTAACAACTCTCAAAAGGCCTGCAACCAAAACTCTCTTACAGATGTATCTCAACATGGAAATGAACTATCTCCACCACTGCCAAAGTCAGAACCTAAAATAGATTTAAATATTCCTGCCCCTCCTCTTGGTGCTCACTTATATGAGGAGAATGGGGATCTTTCAGTGGCTGATAAGCAAGAGAAAACAACAATGGGTTTTTCCAAAGACACTTCAGAGCTTGAACCAACTTTAGTAGATGAAACAATCCAGTGGAGCTCAAGATTGGGCCAATCAGACTTCAGCTTGTTGACCTGGATCACGTCGACACCATTGTTTAATGACACTGGAAATGATCAGCCATGGTTACCCAGCAGTTTACAGAATGTAAAACAAGACAGTACAACTCCATATACCTGCAGTTCTCACACCTTCAGAGACTCAGAGCAGAACCTAGCCTGTTTTCAGGAGCAAAGGAAAAAGTCTGCGGAATGCTGCTTAACAAATGAATCTCTTGAGTCAACTTTTTTATGATGAGGGTATCCGAGCTTATATGTTTTGTTTGCACAGGAGTATAGGCTTTTGCATTCCAGAAGATGGAACTCAAGGTACATAGTTTTATTTTAAAAGAAACTTTAAGCACAATATGTTGAAAACAAGAGCTTTATATACAGATAAAAGATACATATCTATATTTATTTTATTTTTCATCTCATTTTATACAAAATCTTTATCTTTATTTTTATTTGCCTCTTTGGAGTTCTTTATTCAATTACCAGGTCACAGAGGTTGTATTTCAACCCAAAGCTTGATGTGATAACCATTGGTTCACAGTTCATATGAGTTGGGGCCCACCATATTAACTTTAAAAATATGTGCAGTCCTCCTTAGATTTTTAGTGCGGGGAAAAGGAATATACGTGTGGCAAAAAGTAATTAAGGAACCCTACAGAATCAAACCTTCATTTTGTAAAACTACGTATGTTACACTGCAATGGAAATCATGCAGATATTTTCCAGATGCGACCTCATATTTTAATTACAACCATAGCAGCTTATATATCAAGAGAAAACAATAAATAAATGAAGATCTATATTGCAAATGTGTTATGTTGTTTGGGACTATTGAAGGAGCATTTGCCTGTTTTTAAGTCACTGAACATTTTCCATATTCCAAGAAAGAAACAGAGGAAATTGTTGCACTCAGCTCCTCGCCCCCCCCCCCCTCCCAAATAATCTAGTAAGACTCAGAAGTAACTGGAGGAGATTCACCAAAGGTTATCTTGGTTGTTGGGCAGTCTAGTGCAGCCCACAGAAACTAGGGATTTTTTTTGTATGCTACAGTTGACAGAATCACAATGGATAAGAAATTGAGCTCATTTTAGATGTGAACCAAGAGACAATGGGGCCATTTTATCAACAGAAAGATACAATGTTGCCACTTCCAATACCAACTCTTATCTTTTTGTGACTGAGATTCAGTTGATTGGCACTTTCCCAGTCAATTGCTGTTCTTTGACACCAGCTTAGCACTTCCATTGCTTCATCTAATTGAGATGTAAATTAGAAACAGAATTGAATGTCAGTGGCATACTGATGGCACCTCACTCCAAATTCCCCAATGTCCTCACTCAGCAGACTTCATATAGATGTTAAATAACACAGGAGAGTAGACAGATTCCTGAGGGAGCCCATAGAATACACTGCTAGGCAATATGGGCAGGTGATGCACCAGGAAATCAAGTGAACTCAACTGAGAAAAATTGTACCAGCCATATTCCAATAATGCAGGCACTCTCATGAAAGGATGCTTACTTGTTTCTTGCATGAGGAGCTGGAGTTGATAGAGGGAGCTCATCCGCCTCTCCCCAGATTCAAACCTGTGACCTGTCGGTCTTCAGTCCTGCTGGCACAGGGGTTTAACCCACTGTGCCACTGGGAGCTCCTATGAGAAGAGGTATTAAAGTGGATTGTCTAATAAATAGTAGCTGGTTTAGTACAAAAACTGAGTGGTGCATTATTTTGATTTCAAAGAAACTTCAAGAGCTTCAGGATTTGTGATTCAGAAATGCTGCTACAGGTTGAGCATCCCTTATTTATTTATTTATGTATTCCGCATATTTGCATCCTGTTCTTCTCACCCCCAGAGGGGGACTTGGGGCAGATTCACAGCAGGCATTCATTCAATGCCAACAACAGTAATCAATGATAAAAACAATTAAAACAATTCATTAATGCTTTAAAATTACTAAAGCATTGTTTAAATCATGCAGGTTTGAAATCATAGTCCAGATCAGTCCATTGTCATTCACACAAACTGGGTCTTATTCTAAATTGCTGCCTCTACTGTTCGAATGCTTGGACCCATAACCAGGTTTTGAGTTTCATTTTAAAGGATAAGAGGGAGGGGGCCAATCTAATGTCACTGGGTAGAGAGTTCGACAAGTGAGGGAATTATCACCACTTATCAGGAATTCTGAAATGGGAAGTTCTCCAAAATGCAAAATTGTCCACATGGACTAGCTGAGACAGTAACACCCTTGCTTTCTGGTGTTTCAATGCACACAAACTCAGGAACAAATTACCTTCTAACTATGTGTAGAAAGTGTATATAAAACACACATTTTGTGTTTGGGTCTCATATCCAAGATATCTCATTATATATGCATGTGGAAATGCAGATATTTCAAAATCCAAAAAAAAAAAAAACACCCAAATCCAAAAAAGTTCCAATCACAAGAATTACAAAAAAAGGAAAACTCAACCTGTATCTAGACTGTATAATGCTGTCAGTCAGGATCTGAAGACAGTTTAGCCATTTTCAGCCCAGAAAACTCAAAGCAGCCCAGTTTACAGTTTTAGGTGAATGTCTAGGAAGTAAAGCTGCATTCATTTGATAGTGAGATCTGAAAAGAGCAGCTCTTGTGGAATAAAACTATTCTCAGTGCTTCTGTTTCATTTAAGATGGCTTTGTTTAGTAAGGAAGCAACTTTTACTACATCCCCTTGGGTGAGATCTTAGTGCTATGAAAAGTGATGGCAAAATTCCCACTGATGTCTTGAAGGATGCTACATTCAACAGAACAGTTGCAGAATGTGCTCTGACAAGCCATGTGGGCCCAGATGCTCAAGGGCTTGGTTAAGCGCCAAGGACTCCTGTGACTCTTCCACTGCAGTAAGCTGTAAAGCTAGGCTCCAGAACTCTGGTTGTTTCCCTTTTTAACAACATGCTGCTATGAAGATAAATCATTAAATTAGAAATGAGCTGTGTCTCCAGCCTGCTTTGCCTTATTTTACATCCCTGTTATCTTGCAACCACATTCCTTAGAAGAATGCCAATGTCGCTATCCATTTCAGTTAAAGGATATGTCTGATGCTTCAGGGGGGTCCTAACCTATGAGGCCAGCACGGTTAATATGCTTTAGTTTAGATCCAGTCTTAAAATTGAGGCGCTTCACCCAAGGCAAGAAATAGATCTCAGTTGCAGCCTATTTTCACAAATGGCTATTTACTATTGTTCCTGGAGCCCCCGGTGATGCAGTGGATTAAACCCCTGTGCCGGCAGGACTGAAGACCGACAGAGAAGCCTCCCACAAGGATAATAAAAGCATCAAATCGTCCGGGCATCCCCTGGGCAACGTCCTTGCAGACGGCCAATTCTCTCACACCAGAAGCGACTTGCAGTTTCTCAAGTCGCTCCTGATACGACAAAAAAACAAACCCACAAACACTAATCTAATGCCTCTGGGTTTTTCTATATCTTCTCCCAGATATTGCTTGTTGTACAACCCAGCTTAACTATGAATCCTGAATAACTTGAAACTTTGCCAGTCTTTCACAGTTTTTCCTAATAAAGGTGTTGTCCAATGTGGATGCATGTACTTTTGATCAGGATTTCTGGCATTGTGTTTATGTTGATAAACTGATCAAGAACTGATTAGGTAATGTAAGCAAAAGGAAATTGGCAAGAAATGCTTTTGTAAATATTATGTGGAGTAACGGGGAATTATTATTTCCAAGGTCCACCCTGCAATGATACAAACGAGTTAACATTCTATTCAAGATATACACAGATTCAAAGAAATCATGACAACCTGAACATCAATTTCTGCTGATGGCTGAAAATCCAGCCTGTCATCTCATTCTTATTAAGGAAATTCTTATTATCCAATTATATTAATCATTTTATGACTGCAAGAGCTTCCCCATCATCACCAATGACTTCAGCATTCCTGATATTTTTGTCCTCCCATGTGGTACATCTCCTTTAGACAGCATGATAGACTGCTTGATTGTAAAGCCCGGGCTTAAACAAAATCAGTAGCAAAACTCCCACTGACTTCAATGGTGCTGAGTTTTCATTTTGTCTCTTTATGGTTATGCCATTAGCAAGAAATATATGCTCCAACTGCAAAAACTGACAGGAAATTAATATTAAATCTATGTGATTGTGACATTAGAAATAGGCACATGATGATACACTTTAGATTACACGTGAAAGATGAAGAGATCACCTGATGTGTTAATGCTGTGGTTATCAGGGAGTGAAAAAACAGAGAATGTTGACTAAATCATGGAAAGTGTATTGCAAAGGGCTATGAAGTTCTCACTAAAAAGCTGAAGGACTGGGGCATAGTCTGTTCTTTCAGTACTTCTTCCTGTTGAAGGACATGATCCAGGAAGAGAGGAAAGGATAGTGGAAGTAAGCAACTGGCTCCACAGATTGTGGATTTAAGTTAAGTTGAGGAAGAAGAGTACTCTAGAGGGCATGAAGACATTTGCCCCTAGAGAAAATATCCTAAATTATACAAAAGGAATTGGGAAGATAATAAAAGAACCATCAATGGGCAGAAAAAAGACAAAGAATTAGCTGAAAAAATGACCACTTATCTTAGATGTCTCTAAATGGAGGCAAAGAGCATTGGAAGCAAATAAGATGAACTGAGCTCTTAAACATAGGAAGGTAACATCGTTTAGTAGGAACTGCTGAAAGTTGATGGAAACAACAGTGGCATCATTTTGGAGTCTACTACATACCAAAGACCTTTGTTGAGTCTACTACTATATACTGAAAACTTTGGCCTTCTTAGAATAAATGGCCAAATCTTCAAAAAGTGATACAGCAGTAATATCAACCACCGTTGTTGGAAGTAAAAATTTGCTAAAGTTCAATGAATTCCTCATTCACCATAGTGGAAACAAAGAAAAGATTTACTGTCTTAGATCTGATCCTAGCCAACAGGGAAGAATCTTGTCAATAGAATAGAAGTGATCACACCCTCTTGGGATTGGTTATACAGCAAATATAACGTAAGGCAGCCCCCATCCCCTTCTCCCAAGTTCTTCTGGCTTGAAGCAATGATGTGCCAAGAGAGGGGGCATTTTTAAAATACGATTGCTCCCGGGTTAAAGGGCTGTATGGAACTGCCCTAGGAGTAAAGCAATAAACCAATAAATCACTATCTTGTTCATAGCTGCTCCCAAAGCTAATTCCTACTATCTATTTGAGGATGGTGTCTACAATGTGTTCTAGCATATACTGGCATCTGCCGCAGCACATTTTTTGACAGAACTTCCTTAGTACTTCTTAAAGTACTTAGTAACTTTAAATGTGTGCTTTAAATGCAGCGTGCATTGACAGTGTGTATTTTGTCATCACTATGGCCTTGAGTCAGCTATGAACTGCATGTATTGTCAATGTTGAAGGCCCAAGGAGGTGGAAGTGGCTACAAGATCTCCTAAGAGGGAGAGATGAACTAGCAAAACCACCTCTGGGTATTCCTTGCCTGAGAAAATTCAATGAAATTAATGGGGTTGCCATAGGTCAATTGATGATTTAAAAACATATATCAGGCATCCTCAAATTGCAGCCCTTCAGCTGTTTAGGTCTCCAATTGCCAGAAGCTCTAACAAGCTTGTTCAATTGTCAGGAATTCTGGGAGTTGAAGGCCCAAACAGCTAGATGGTGCAGTTTGAGGATGCTTGACATATATACACACAAAAAAGGAAAAGTCAATCATCCATCAGGAAGTCTGTTAACTATCATCATCATCATCATCATCATCTTTAATTACTTGTTAATCGCCCTCCATCTGAGATGCTCC